GTCACTTTGGCACATTTACCAAAATGAAAATGATCGTAATCAACTAATGAGATAATTAGTTCGTCAAATATCAATTAAAAAGGTCTGCAACTACTAGAAAGATGTGAATAAAATGGCAAAGAGAATGAAGCAACCAATTAAAACGAAAAGCAAAACCTCGATGGAATTTTTGTAAAGATCAAGATGTTCGAGATTAACGAGTTTTCCGAAATCATTTGGTAAATGAACAATACGATTGTTGCTCAGATCCAGTTTTGTGATATGCGTCAATAGGCAAAATTCCGGTGGAATTGTCAAAATCTGATTATTCGAGAAGTCAATATGAGTGGCACGTGGTAGTTTGGCCTGAAATCAAAAACTGGAACCAATTTCGAAAAATTGCTGCAATATCGGTGCAATTACATCATATATGCTGAATAGGAAAGGCTTGAATATTCACAGAATTTGTTGCAAGAAAGTTTTGCGATCATGATATCGAACAATACCAAATTCCGGCTCTCTTCAGTGAACGGAAATGGATAAAAGTCTAATCTGGTGCAGAACAACAGGAAAGAATGCCCGAGTACAGGATACTAGGCAAGAACTCTTCTCAGTTTATGAGAACAAATGTTGACTTACTTTTTACAGAAATTGGACAGTGCTGTAAAAAAAATCAGCACAAAATAACGAACTAACCAGTGCTCTAGTCGGTATAACAGTGAGTTGACGCATACTCAAATCAAGTTCATTATCGTCAAGAACGGCTTTCAAGTCCTTCAGTGACAATTCCTCCATTTTCTTTGCAACTTCTGCAATAATGTCCAAACTGCGAGTGGCATCCAAAAGTAAAATTTATAAATCGCGATCAGTTGCACTGTTGATTGCAACCACAATGAAATTGCACACGATCGATAGGTGAACGACAACGCAATAATTCAGGTCAAACCCACCAAGCAGTCCGCTTACGTTAGTTTAGAAGTCTCTCATGCAAACGACTCCAACAAACAATAATCAAACTGCAAGTTCAAAATACATTTTCCATATCATCATTGCAATTTTATGTGTGGTATGAACAAGATTGCCAAGAGAGGGAGGTAGATATACGATAGGTTGCCAAACGGGGTTTAGTTGATTTGCTTTTGGATGTCTCTTATTCATGGAATTATTGACAAAGCGAACTTGTTCGTAGGATTTCGTGTTGCAGATGAGTTTAGAAAATGCGCATTAGAGTGACAGTTGCTGAGGTGTGCAATGCAAATCGAAAACAAGACATTGAATTTATTGGAGTGCATTTGGGTGTTATGGCTAGCAAGGAGAATCAGATCAGATTGTTTAGTCAGCCAACAAATTAAGAAATCGTTTGAAATCGACTTA